ACTCCACACTTTACACTTTACACTGTACACTCCTCACTCCATGGTGGGTGAAAGATTGTATGTCACTCCACACCTTATACTCCACACTTCACACTCCATACTCCATACTCCACACTCTACACTTTCCACTCCACACTCCACGCCCTACACTTTACACTTGACACCCCAGACTCTACACTTTACGCTCTGCACTTTACACTTTACACTCTGCCCTTTACACTCTACACTCTACGCTCCACACTTTACACTTTACACTGTACACTCCCCCCACAACAGTCACTCTCCACCCCCTACTGTAATGATCCTCAGCCCAGCCGAAGAAGGGCCGCTAAATGGCAGAAAGTTGCTCCCATGCTTCGAGGGGCCGCCAAATGGCAGCAATTTGCTCCCGTGACCTCCCGTGACCTCCCGTGACCTCCCGTGACCTCCCCTGACCTCCCGGCTAGGATTTGGACCAATATGGCCGGTTCCCAATGAGCACTCTTCACTCTACATGCCATACTTTACACTTTACACTCCTCACTCCTCACTGCAGACTTTACACTCCACACTCCACACTTTACACTCCACACTCTACATTTTACACGCTACACTCTACACTCTACATTCTACACTCCACACTTTGCACTTTACACTTTGCACTCCACACTCCACACTTTGCACTCCACACTCCACACCCTACACTTTACACACTACACTTTACACTCTACACTCTTCACTCTACACTCCATACTTTACATGTTACACTTTACACTCCTCACTCCTCATAGCACACTTTACACGCCACACGCCACACTTTACACTCCACACTCTACACTTTACACTCTACACTTTACACTCTACACTCTACACTCCATACTTTACACTTTACACTTTACACTCCATACTCTACACTTTACACTCTACACTTTACACTCTACACTCTATCAGGGGTTACCGAACTACAACCCAGTCGAACCAGACTCTACACTCCATACTTTACACTTTACACTTTACACTTTACGCTCCATACTGGACACTTTGCACTCGACACTCCACACTTTACACTGTACGCTCCACACTCCACACTCTACACTTTACACACTACACTTTGCACTCTACACTCTTCACTCTCCACTCCAGACTTTACACTTTACACTTTAAACGCCGCACTCCTCACTACACACTTTACACTCCATACTGCACACTTGACACTCCACACTTCACATTACACTCTACACTTCACACTCTACACTCTACACTATACATTTTACACTTTACACTGTACACTCCTCACTCCATGGTGGGTGAAAGATTGTATGTCACTCCACACATTACACTCCACGCTCCACACTCCATACTCCACACTCTACACTCTACACTTTCCACTCCACACTCCACACTCTACACTTTACACTTGACACTCCAGACTCTACACTCTACGCTCTGCACTTTACACTTTACACTCTGCCCTTTACACTCTACACTCTACGCTCCACACTTTACACTTTACACTGTACACTCCCCCCACAACAGTCACTCTCCACCCCCTACTGCAATGATCCTCAGCCCGCTGTTTCATCGTCTACTAGAAGCCCAAACGATCTGCAGCACCTTTGCAATTGCTATCCTTGCTTTGCAACCCTTCGCCACCCCTTCCTCAGTATCACTTCTCATCCCCTTGCAAACTCTCTTGTTCCGAACCCCAACGAACGCTGCTCTCCGTTGAGCTTCGTGGTTCCTCCATTTTCCTCCGTTTTCCCCTTGCTTTTAACGATTTTCCTCCATTTTTCTGTCGCTTTTTTTTCCTACATTTTTCCTGTCGTTCCTCCATTTCCCTCCATTTTACCCCTGTTTTCAACGATTTTCCTTCGTTTTCCTTGGTTTTTTCCTCCCTTTTTCCTGCCGGAGTCAACGGACCTAGGGGGAATCGAAGCCTACCGTCACCTCTTTGCGTAGTGGTACATGCCCCCAAAAAAAGTTCAATTTGCTCGGCCTCCGCTGCAACTAATTTCGAGCTTCCGGCCCCTCACGCGACGTCCACCCCCCAGACCCCCTAATACTCGTTCGCCAAAACAACTTTGCCTAGCCTATCGGCTGGCTTTCGTAATAACCACATGTGTTCAGGTTGGGCTGATACGGGTGGTTTGGGTTGGTGGTTTTGGCGGGTCTGGGAAATTATGAATTTTGATATATTTCTAGTTTGAAACTTATGATGTTCTTTCATGTTTGCTCGGGCACTGAATCATTTTGTTTGGTGCTTTGGTACATTCAAAGCTGATTTCTTTGATCTAGGTTTGATGGAGGCTTCATGGGATTTTTTGGTGTTATTTTTTGGGATCAAAAACGCGAAGAAAACTCTATCACGCATCAAATCTACATCAAACTTGTTAGAGCAGTAAAATTTAGATATGGCTATTAAAGAGAGTTTGGCCGGTTTGGCCTTCTTTCTTGATGCCATTTTCCTGCAGGTTTCTTGCAGGTTTCGTACATGCTCTTTTCTGTCAGCAACCTGCATGAAACCTGCAGGAACCTGTGTGAACACGGCATCAAAACGACATCACCAAAAAACCCTTGTCAGGAAAGCAATCTGTATAATACGTGCACACAACAAATCATGGTGACTACCTCCAATCTCACTCTTGTTGTAGGCTGTTGTCTAAGGCCCATCTTTGAGGCCGTAGCTTGCAGCGAAATCGAAGGACTTCGATGGGTGGAAACGGCGCTTCAAGACCTCAGCGCCATGCGCCAACGGTGCTTCAGAATCCGGTTGAAAGCACATGCTGTGACATGCTGTGACTCTTTCTGGTGACAGATCTTCCTCATGAGATTCAGATGCAGATGCATTTGGCATCATTTGGCGATGGAACGTGGGGAATATATCAAACTGTTTGTAACTTCGACTGTCAAATCTCATCGGTATTATCTTTCTTCTATGCATGCATCATGAAACATCATGAAACCATCACGAATCCCCATGCATATACCCAATGGTTCTCACGTGAAAATCACTGGGACGCGAACGATAGGGTGCTCCATAGATGCTTTGCTCCTCTTCTGTTCGTCGAATTGGGCGCACCTAGCGAATGCAGTCAGGTTCAAATGACTCGAGATTTCCACAGTATTCCACGCGCCGAAATCCGAAGAAACTTCCATGCACACATCCGAAGAAAACTAAACTTCGCCGTACTTCGCCGTACTTCGCCATACTTCGCCTGCTTCACTGAATCTGCAATGAGCTTGCCATCAGCAAAAACCTGAGTTGTCTGCTCACGGTTTTAGTAGAAGTACTGATTCGGTATTGATTCGGTATTGTCTCTTGTCCGAGAATGCAAGTGAGCATAAGAGTTGCCAAATGTTGCCAAATATGCCAAAGGTTGATATCGCCCTGTGACGTTTCGCATCTTGCGCTGCGAAAAGCGCAATTCCAGCGGATCCATTTGCGTGATGGCCTCAGAGACTCCGTGAATTCTCCGTTGAAAAATCTCACGCCTGAAATCGAACAAAAACAGAAAAGCTATGGAAAACATGGCGAACCACCGATGTACCACGATGTAGCACTACAAATACAAGGCCGCAAAATATGGTTTGTACTATGTTGGGAAGAAGCTAGAACAGCTTGGTAGATACATGTCTCTGTGTAGGACATTGTAGGAGCAGGATGGACCAGGTCTGGCTTCCACTTCACGTTTCCCCGTGTTCCCTGTGTTTCCCTAGTTTTGTCTGTTTGATCTGTTGGATCTGGACTCGAAACATCCCCAAACTCCGAGGAGAGAACTCTCTCACTGTCTTCGCTCGCATCTGAGCCTTCAAGTTCCTCACCTGGCCAAAGTCCAACGAGCAGCTGGTGAAAATCCGAGAAAATCCGACGAAAATCCAAGATCGCGCTGGCAGAAAAATGAAGAACACATCATCCATCATGCATCTTTTTCCATCATCCTGCATCACTATGCATAGATTACGCATAGATTACGCATAGATTACGCATAGATTACGCATAGATTACGCATAGAACATGCAAATCATCATGGAGCACCCAGACTCACATCGGCCTTCGTCCCATGGCTCTGCCATTGCTCAGAGCTGGCCCGGATGCCCGGATTCAACGAATATTTTGTCACGGGCGTCCCTTGCAAAAGCCTGAGAACGTAGAGATAATAATGATATAGTGTACAAATAGCAGATATTAGTATGTTATAGTAGATTTTAGTAGTTATATATATATATTTATTTATATATTTATTCATTTATTTACAAGATTGCAACAAATAATTGAATTAACTCAAGTTATCTCAAGTTGCTCGAAATAGCAACCCACACTGGGAAGTTCTACTAGGATTTTTCTTTGCTCAAAAAGAATCTTGGTCACTGCACTTTGGCATGTCCATTCATGTGGACTCTCTGTTCAAGACCTGGCCATGGACCTCTGAGCTTAAAAGGCTCAACATAAGGTCAACATAGGTTCAACATGGGCTCAACATGCCCAAATCACTCCAAATCATCCCAAGCATCTGTAGCCAAATCGGCTTGCCGTGGCATCGCCAACTTAGCAGAACCCCTGTCCATTCACCTTCATTTACGTCAATGTACTGACATTTACCCCTGGACCTGCATTGCTTTCCAGGTGATGGACATGTTTCTCATTGACGGCAGCCACATCCAATCACATCCAGTCACAAACTCAGGTAAGTTGGCTGGTTGAAGCAGTTTTTTCTCTATCGGATTTGCCGCTCCAGCTGCCGCGCACGCAAGTCGTGACTCGCTGGACCTGCTTGATACCTCAAGTGCACCACGAGGTGCACCACGAAGACGTCACAGACGTCACAAGGCATCACGACAGAGTGCAAGATGCCACGACACATCGGCATATCGCCAACATGTCACAGTCCGATGTCTCGACATGTCTCGACATGTCTCGATCCGCCAGGCGCCAGTTTCCGACATCGACATGTCGAAAGATGCTGAAAGATGTCGAAACATGTCGAAAGCGTGTCCCACAACGTGTGTCCCACAACGTGTCCACGGTGATCGTCCCGAGTCCCGGGCCAGTCGCGCTGCCGCCGCGCTTTGACCTTTCGCGTTTTGCGGATCCAGGCCTGGACATCACTTGACGTTTTCGACATCGGAATAGTTTAAAGATAATGATACACATATATATAATACACATATAATACACATATAATACACATATGATACACATATATATAACACACATATGATACACATATAATACACGTATAATACACATATGATACACATATATATAATGCACATATAATATATAATACACATATGATACACATATATATAATACACATATAATACACATGTAATACACATATGATACACATATATATAATACACATATGATACACATAGAATACACGTATAATACACATATGATACACATATGATACACATATATATATATAATACACATATGATACACATATGATACACATATAATACACATATGATACACATATATATAATGCACATATAATACACATATGATACACATATAATACACGTATAATACACATATGATACACATATGATACACATATTTATATAATGCACATATAATACACATATAATACACATATGATACACATATATCATACACATATGATACACATATATATAATACACGTATAATACACATATGATACACATATGATACACATATATATATATAATACACATATAATACACATATAATACACATATGATACACATATATATATATAATACACATATGATACACATTTATATATAATACACATATAATATATAATACACATATGATACACATTTATATATAATACACATATGATATATAATACACATATGATACACATATATATATAATACACATATGATACACATATATATAATACACGTATAATACACATATGATACACATATGATACACATATATATAATACACATATAATACACATATGATGCACATTTATATATAATACACATATGATACACATATAGTACACATATGATACGCATATAATATAACATTTAAATGACATGATAGCCATGGTAGTCATATTTAATAATGTGCATATATTTGTATATTGTACATGACCTCTATATCAGCGTCTGTAATTTATTTCTTTATTTTCTTCTTAATTGTGGTCAAAGATTTAAGGAAATCTCATCTCATGAGACGTTGTGCTTCTGCAATGCGATGGATACCCACGGATTCAATACATGATGTAGCTATATATATATGTGTGTATATGGAGGTTACTTTTCAGGGGGGATCCTACCAGCCATTTTATAATATAAAACGGTGGGGTACAACCCCCTTGGGGGTCTATAAATTGAAGGTGCCAACCCCCCTGAGGCACTATAATTTGAACATGGTGGCCTCTAACCAGAGTCCAGAAATTAAGAGAAAAAAGCCTTCTGACTATAAAATGGCAGGTGCTGACCCCCCAAAAAGAATTCATAGAATGAAACAGCATGTTGAACATGTCGATAAAAATGAGGGATCCATGACATACTTGTTATATCTTGATATTATCAAAAATATATGATAGATCATCTTATATTTTCATATATCGATCATACATCGAAATATATATATATATAGTTATTGTTAATTATTGAGATGTTTTGGATTGTCCTAGCGTTGCTGTCTGAACCTTTCTTGGCCTCCAAAGATCCACAGAGAGGTGTCTCACACAAACATCACACATTTTTTTGGCCCCAAGACATCTTCGTTTGATTTCGTCTGCATCGCTATGTGATCTGCTTCAATGAGCAGCAACGAAGAACCAACTGCGAAAATGGCACAGGGGGTGACACATGCGGGTTGGCAAAAGCCAGGGTCTATAAAATGACTGGGTGTGGACCCCCTGCATACACCATAAAACAGGGCCACTGCTGTGGCCACTGCAGGTGTTCCCTGCTGGCATTATGCTGCTCTAAGTCTTTCCTCGGGCTTGCTTTGCTTCTGAGATGCATCTGGCTTCTTTTTGCATGAGCTTCTTTGCCTACATATTTCTTCCACACACATGTTTTCTGTAAAATGACAGGGCTTGACCCCCCCCCAAAAGGTTTCCATAAAATGAAAGCAAATAGATTGTCTATAAAATGGCAGGGCTATACCCCCCCAAAAACCATAACATAAAACGTTTTATGGAGGGGGTTGACCCCTGCCATTTTATAGATGAAAAAGTAACATCCATATGTATATATATATATGTGTGTGTGTGCTTATATGTGTGTATATATGTACAATACATGTTATGTGTATTTTATACATGTGTGTGTGTGATGTGTGTGATGTGTGTGTGATGTGTGTGATATGTGTGTGATGTGTGTGTGTGATGTGTGTGTGATATGTGTGTGATGTATGTGTGTGTGTGTGTCCACGCCTGTCTCTAAGGTTTTCACGTTTTTTCCCGAGAGCGTCTGAGCGCAGGGTTCTTCCAATAGTGGGGGTCTGTATCTTATCTTCTCATCTTCACATCTTCTCATCTTCACATCTGTATCTCATCTTCTCATCTTCACATCTTCTCATCTTCACATCTGTTCATCTTCACATCTTCTCATCTTCACATCTGCTCATCTTCACATCTGCTCATCTTCACACCTTCTTTCACATCTTCTCATCTTCACATCTGCTCATCTTCACATCTTCTCTCACATCTGCTCATCTTCTCTCACATCTTCTTTCATCTGCTCATCTTCATATCTTCTCTCACATCTTCTCTCACATCTGCTCATCTTCACATCTGCTCATCTTCACATCTGCTCATCTTCACATCTTCTATCCACATCTTCTCTCACAT